TTAACCACATCAAACATGTCTTATATGACCTAAGTAATCTAGAATTAACCACATCAAACATGTCTTATATGACCTCGGTTATCTAGAATTAACCACATCAAACATGTCTTATATGACCTCGGTTATCTACAATCAACCACATCAAACATGTCTTATATGACCTAAGTAATCTAGAATTAACCACATCAAACATGTCTTATATGACCTCGGTTATCTAGAATTAACCACATCAAACATGTCTTATATGACCTCGGTAATCTAGAATTAACCACATCAAACATGTCTTATATGACCTCGGTTATCTAGAATTAACCACATCAAACATGTCTTATATGACCTCGGTTATCTAGAATTAACCACATCAAACATGTCTTATATGACCTAAGTAATCTAGAATTAACCACATCAAACATGTCTTATATGACCTCGGTTATCTAGAATTAACCACATCAAACATGTCTTATATGACCTCGGTTATCTACAATCAACCACATCAAACATGTCTTATATGACCTCGGTTATCTAGAATTAACCACATCAAACATGTCTTATATGACCTCGGTTATCTAGAATTAACCACATCAAACATGTCTTACACGAACCCAATTATTTCCCGGATTTCCTCAAAAATAAGACTGGGTCTTTTATTAATTCTTCTTCCAAAATACTTTTTTCTTAGGGGAAGTAGTATTTTATTTTATGTGTGTCTTTATTTTTAAAATACTTACTTATAATTTACTGTATCATTTATTTGAAGTCATAATGTCAATCGCATTATTTATTTACACTAATAGCTACTTTATTATTAAATATGCTCGTTCGTGTGTTTCAATGGGGAAGGAAATCCGCCCATCTGGCTGTGAATATTAACTAGGACTTATAATTTTTGCAAAGAATTCTTCTTCTTCTTCTTCGCGTTCACCAGCTGTACACTCTGGCGGAAAGTTCTGGTTGTTCGTCCACACCTGGACTGCAGTCCTGCTCCAGAACCTGGGTGTTGCATGTGCATCAGTTTTACAGATCTGATTCACTTGAATGCAGACTGTTGGTTTCTTGCCTCTCAGGCAGATGCACTCCGACTTCAAAGGAAGCTACCAATTAGTCGACTCTTACGACATGCTTTTTGGTAGGCAGTGGGTCTATTCTTGTTTTCCCCCCACAATGGGGCCCCGGATCCCACACAGGGATGCAAAGAATTACAAAAAACAAATGGTCTGAGAAAAAGAGGATGTCCCAGGAAAACAGTGAAAAGAACACTATTATGACAGGCCTGAGAGGCAAGGAACCAAGATTGAGCAGACAAACAAGCCAGAAGTGCAAGCAACACTCAGGTTCTGGAACAAGACTTAAAGTCCGGAGGTGGACGAGCACCCAGAGTTTTCCGCCGGAGTTTATGCAGCCAGTGACCCTAAAGAAGAAGCAGATATGCAAACCCAGTTATCTACATTCTCATTTTACATCATGATGTAGCACAGGATTATTCAACTAGGTTTATCCCGGGGCAAACATTTTGAAAAGTGGGGATCATCAAGGTCCAGAGGTCCGAACCCAGATCGTTAATATCATACAGCCGGCAATCATCTGCAGGCCACTTGCTAGGCCTCTGTGGGCCAGATCTGGCCTGCAGGCCACTAGCTGAATAGCACTGAGGAGCAGCTCCTTTGCAGAAGGTCGCACGCATCCCATTCTGCCTAAACCAAACGCAGTCTCTCGCCAGATCTCCCACCGTGTGCACTTTCCTACCCTAGTGCGGCACTAATATCCAGGTATTCTCTGCCTGCCCCTCTTTCTTGGCACCTGGCCTTGTGCTATTTTTTCTTCCTAATCGCTGTAAGGCTTGATATGTCCAAAATATTTCAGTTTCTGAGATAAGACGCTGCTTATTAGCCCAATCTTCCTTGATGTTTAGCTTTTTATAACAATCGGCGAATTATTATAATTTATGGATATTCTGAAACCATACCAAATCTACCCAAAAGGCATGTATAACCAAACCTGGTTATCTAACAGTACTATACCCTTTATCAACTGGTCACATATTGGCTATCTAGATCAGAACAAATCTATCCTACGCAAACCCAGTTAAGCTACAAGAATTGCATTCTTCTTTGCACTTCTGGCTATTCTAGAGTTAGTTGCGTATCCTTTACAGGACGTTGCAGAACCAACCCTAACAGCCCCTGGCTGTTGTCTGGTTCTCTAGGCAATTTACATCCAGTAGTTTGCCATTGCTTTCTGGACGGTCAGCTTTCTTGATACCACTGTCGAAACCAACGCAAGGCGCATTGCCCACAGCTGGGATCGGTTCTGGCATCCCGGCATTACGAAGCGAAGCGTTCGCATCTACTTAGCCACAGAGCCGACTCTGGCTATTCTAGAAAGAGTCAAATCTGCTGAATACACATCAAGCATGTCCAACTAAACATGGATATCTAACATCACCATATTTTTAAACAACAATCAACAAACAGTGATATTACTATGCATTTTGGCTTTCCGTGACCTATCAGATCTGTAGTATACAAAGTGATTATATGGAACGACTGAGATTACTTTGTGCTTCTGGCTTTCTAAGACCAAGCCAAACCTGCCCCCCCCCCCCACACAAACCAGATTTTCCAGCATTATGGTATCCTTTAGCACAGTTGTCTGCAACCCGGGGGGGGGGGGGGGGGGGGGGGGAGGTAGAGGCGCCTAGGGGGGATGTCAAGCAATTCTGAAAACAATGCATTTGTACTTGTAACAATCCATTATGCTAACATTTGTTTTTCTTTTTTTTCAGTTTAATTTGACATAAAATATGTTTTAAACTATTTATAAAACAAAACGAAAAGGATGTTCTAATTCTAATTAACATGACAGCACATACATTTAATTACAGAATAGGATCATAAGCCTCTTTAAAAAAAAAAAAAAAAAAAATCACATTTAGTTAACTTGGAAAAAAAAGAGGGAAAGTGGGTGGTGGGGGGGGGGGGGGGCCTAACCTGGACAATACAAAACCAGACACATACAAATTCTCAATTATGTAGTAGTATAACCTTTAACAATAATTGATGGCATTACTTTGCTTTCCAAGACCACATAAAGTTAGTCATATACAAACTCAGATATGTAGTACTACCATAACCTTTAACAATAATTGATGGCTTTACTTTGCTTTCCATGACCACATAAAATTAGTCATATACAAACTCAGATATGTAATACGACCATAACCTTTAACAATAATTGATGGCATTACTTTGCTTTCCACGACCACATAAAATTAGTCATATACAAACTCAGTTATGTAATACGACCATAACCTTTAACAATAATTGATGGTATTATGTTGCTATCCAGGACCCTATTAAACCGGTCCTAGTTAAAGTTAGTTGCGTATCCTTTTCAGGACGTTGCAAAACCAACCCCAGCAATATTTGGCTTTTGTGGTTTTCCTAGGCAAGTTTACGTCCAGTAGTTTGCCACTGCTTTCTGGACGGTCGGCTTCTCGATACCAACGCAGGGCGCAAGGCCTGCACCTGGGACTGAACCCTGAAATTACAAAGTGCGTTCGTAACGCCTAAGCCACAGACGCCGACACCGACCCTAGACAAGCCCAGTTATGTTTGATTACCATTTACTTTCACAACTGGTGCCATCCCTTTGTATTTTGGCTCTCCAGGACCACACCAAACACATCCCACACAAACCCGGTTATGTAGCATGACACATTATTTTGTACTTCTGGCCATCTAGGACTATACCAACCTCTCGAGTGCTGGAGGTCCTGGGTTCAAGCCTCATTGGGATTTTTTTCACGTGGACTTCTAGTCATTTCCTCTGGTCTCTGGGTAGTAAGATCAGATACCCGTTTGTATTGTTGAGAACGAAAAAAAAAAATACATTGGCAACTGGAAATTGAAAAGTAGCTAAGGGCACTGCCCAGGCAAAATTTGGAGTTAAAAATCTACTCAAGGTATTTCAGGATCCTCGCTGGGGTAACGGAGTTCATGCAATGCGCTAAGATTCTTCAGACTCAGGCTTGGGTTAGAAGTAGAACGGAGCACTTATGGGTTGTACCTGTGTGCCATGATGATGATCCTTTAAATAAACCCAAACATCCCACACATACCCGGTTACGTAATATGATACATTACTTTGTGCTTCTGGCCATCTAGGACTACCAACCTATTCCACAGAAACCCTGTTACACAGCATGCTTGCACACTACTTTGTACTTCTGGTCAGGACAATCCGGTTTCATTTCAAATGCGAGTGATCTAGCAGGGGACTGTTTTGTGTTGACTTAGCAAAAGCTGAGAACTGACTGTTCAGAAAGCAATGGCAAAGTACTGAACGTAAAATTGTCAAGTAAAATCACAAAACAGGCAAACAATTCTGGGGTTGCTTCTGCAATTTCCTGTACAGGATAAGCAACCCACTTGTTTTTTTTTCCTTCTGCTCTCTCTCCATTCTCCCAGTTTCTCTCATACTTCTTCGTTTGTCTGTTTTACTTCTGACAAAAACATGGCTTTCCTTTGCAAACAAATAAAGAAGGCAAAAGAGAAACTGGATTATTATGGCCTGGAGAGAAAGATGCATCTGGGTGTGACCAGAGGGCCTGGCCAGGTCACTACACTCAGGAAAGAGGCAAGTCGGACATATAACCAGTCTACGACAGGTACCACTGGTTTAAAAACTCTGTGCTGGCTGCTGAAGATGGGGAAGGAGCAGTTATGGGAATGCCTCGAGTGCTGTGATGTCAATTTCTTGACTCTACTCAACCTGTTTTGCTAACACCTTGAGGTTTGTATTACATAAGAATAAAACACACGCAATTCAATACAAAATCATTTAGGCGAATTTAGATAAAAGAAATGCTAATAGTTTCATCTCATCAATGTTGATAAATTAATTCTGTGGGTTGAAATATATTCTTCATACATCTTTTGAATATCCTAAAAGTTCTTATCATTTCTTCTTATAAATATTTCAACAAGAACACACATCATTTATCACACAGAAGCCTCGTACGTGTCATAAACGCTCTTAGCATTTTCCTTACGTGATGACTGGCTCTGCCGCCGCAACCTCTCACTAATGCGTTTATCCCGTATGTCCACAGCATCACTAACTTGCAAAGCCCGTACAAAAGACATGGGCCGACCGTCTGGATGTTGAGGCAAAGACACAGATGAAGACTGGCTGGGAAGTCGAGAGGAGGCATAGGAGGCGTTGGATGAGAGAAGACCCACCGATGGGGTATTGCTGCTGTGCTGGATAGACGAATGAGCGTTTGATGAGCGGATAAATTTCGGCGAGTGCGGAGAGCTGCCTGACGACACAGTCGACGAGGCCCCGGGATAATCGAGGCTGCCAACTCCTGCACTTGTACTAGGCAGCTGATGATATCCTGAAATGACCTTTGGTTGGTATGAACTGCCAGAAACTGCACTGCCGCTATCCCCGTACCCTCCCTGCGATGATTCGGACAAGTTCCTCGGTAGACTCCGATCTCTGACTCCTGCCCTCTCTCTGTCCCTCGATGCTGATCTTTCTCGAGGTGGGTCCAAATCAAAACTCTTGGACCTATCCCGATTCCCTGGTATGGTGAGCATCCCTGGATGAGCTCCTGTCTCGCGGATGAAACTCTGTACTCCTGTGTAGAGGAGCATTATCATCGTAAGTGTCTTTATCACTGAACCTTGATGCGCTTCTTTCTCTGTAATACCCATCTCTGCTATTGTGTCGACCGTCAGAAGAATCTCTTGATCGGCTGTCATTTCTGCCTGATCTGTCAACATAATCCCTGGAATCGGTTCTTTCCCTGCCTCTGGAATTACTAAAAAAAACATCTCTTGGGGAACTTGCATCCCCTCTGGTCCTTTCTACCGTATTAAAACGACCAGCAGATTTGTCACTTGAGCTATAGATCTGATCTCTGCTAGCATCTAATTTGTCATAGGAGCTTGACAAGTAGTCGGCAGAGCCTCTTCGTCCAGGCAATGAATCTGCAGATTGATCTAGAAATTCCCTAGATCTATTTAAATTCTCTTTGGACCTATTCAAATTCTCCCGAGATCGGCTGGGGTAAAATTTTTTGGCCCTGTCTTTAATCGGAGAGGCTGAAGGTATATTCGCCTCCCCTGAATTTTTCACACCACCTCTTGCAGGCGATGGCGAATGAGTAGGGTGTGGAGGTCGGCCGATGTTTCTGTCTCCGCGCTGAGTTGGTGGGGAGTTCACCCTAGGTGAAGGCTTCGATGACGGAGCCCTGGGCGGCAGCGCCCTCTCTACGCTCTGGATACTAGGCCCAGATGACGAAGTGCTCCGCTTCACACCGGGGCTGTTTATCGGGGCCGGGCTCTCCTCATGATGCAGCTCTTCTTCTTCCGACACGACTGGGGCTTTGAATCGCCCGAGACTACCCCCATTCTGGACATTGTAGGAGCCTGCCTTGCCCGTAGAGTGCTCAGATGCGTTCCTAGACTGAGCCGAAAGCTGGCTGGAGGGTGAAGCGGGTCGCCCCCTGTGGTTGGAGTCAGCAGTGGCTTGCACGCCCACCTTAGCGGAGGCTGGGTAGGGCTGCTGGTTCCCGCCTGCATTGAACAGGTTGGTGTATGAACCCCCTTGCTTACGAGCCGCTGGCGGCGAGGGCTCACAGTCAATTGACTGACTGCTTTTGTCCAGATACTCATCATGCTCATGGCCACTTCTGGGTCTCAGCTGTAAATACAAGTTTGAAAAACAAAAATTAATTAGTAATAAAATTAGAAGCCCCCTGTGTGGGTCCCTAGGCCCCATTGTAAAGAAAACAAGAATAGGTAGGTAGTTGTACCCCCACCAGGACATCACACAAGCAATAAACACCCGGTGACACAAAGTGCCACCATGCGGATGAGGATCACCCGTGGAGAGGTCCCAGAAACCCCTTTCAGCCGTCAGGTCATATCTATGGCCCGGCTATATTCAGAGCCACCAGCAGAAGCCAGGGTGGGGCTTCAAATAACACAAAATTGCATCCCACATGGGGACGACTTTAGCATTGATTAATGTCGATGTAGCAATCCAAAAACAAGAAAAGACCCACTTGCTACCAAAAAAAAATGTCATAAGAGTCATCTAATTGGGAGCTTCCTTCGAAGCCGGGCTACATCCACCAAAGAGGCAAGGAACCAACAGTCTGCATGCAAATGAGTCAGATCTGTGAAATGGATGTGCACGCTATAAGTCACTGTAGCCTAGCTGTAAACCACAATACTTTGACTAATACCCTTTTAATGGGAGATGCAGAGGAAGAAGACCAAGAACAATAAATATCCAGCCACATTATAAGAAGATCTAGCACACATGGTTGACGTCATTTAAATTTGTGTTTGTGTCTTCACTGTATGTAACTACCGCTTCTATTTCAGGGTGGTGTAGGAACGGGGGGAAGAGGGGATCTGGTTACTGAGCCAAGGATTTAGGCCCAAAAGGCTACTGCAGTCGCTGCAGACTGCACAGATTAGTATTTTATTTTTGTCTTCAACGAAAAAAATATCCATGACCTTAACGCAAACTTGTGTCTCCCACATGAGAAACTAGCATGGGTGATGACAACTTTTTTAATTCTCTGAAAGCTCATTCTTCTTTAGTATTCTTATTTTGTGTTTAGCCTTTCCCCCACCTTCATCTTTAAAATGTTAATAAATGAAAAAAAAAAACAAATGACAGCGGAGGGAGCACATGCCACTTGTGTTGGTCGAGTGGCATGGTAGTGCTGAAACTTGTGAAGCAGACAAGATAACAGAATTGACTGAGCCAGTGCAAAAGGTCCACTCTGTGTGGAGTTACTTTCATCTTTGTCCTGAGACATGCAGACTTTACTGGCAAATGAAAGAGCCGAATGACTGGCTGGCTCTGTCACAAAGGTTGTGCAGACATTGTTAATGGCCTTAGAGAGAGGAAGAAAGAAAGAAAGACTGTGGAAGCAGTGCATCAACACCACTGCTAAGAAAGAGAGATTAGGGAGTAAAGACTGGTACAGCCAGGCAAGAGAGGCACATCAACATAACCAGTGTAGATCTAGCACTCATTTACTGCAGGCACTCATTTACTGCAGGCACTCATTTACAGCAGGCACTCATTTACTGCAGGCACTCATTTACAGCAGGCACTCATTTACTGCAGGCACTCATTTACTGCAGGCACTCACTCACTGCAGGCACGCATTTACTGCAGGCACCATTTCCTGCAATCTAAAAAGCTTCTGTAGTGATAAATATTTCATTCTTCTCCTTCGTTTGAATTCATCTTAAAAAAAAAAGGGTGACTGACATGTTATGTTGCAGACTGCAACCAGACTGCTGCCCTTCAACCCAGAGCATCCAATGTCAGCAAACCCCCTATTGGGGTCACATCTTATGACATGCTTAATAAGGACTGGTAGGTCTACCACCCCCAACTTGCGCCCTGGAATTCGCAAGAGGAATTTTATACAGCATCACTACTTTTCAAGTATCAAAGTTCTTTCGGAATATACAGAACTTAAGGTGGCATTAATTAATGTCACCATAATAAAACAATTTATTGATTTATAGAACTCTATATGGTATAAAATCACTGTATTAAGTTTCTTTAGAAATATAAATTTTTAATAATACAGCATCCCTAATTTTAATGTAACAATGATCTTCAGAGAGATACACAAGTTTATATGGAACCAATTCTTCTTAAAAGTCCATGCTGTGTGGCGTTGGTTGTCATGTCTATCCACAACTTTCTGTCTCGTGTATTTTCAATCAATTCTGATACAGATGATCCTCCATGCCGTGATGTCAAACTGTCCGGCATCTGTTTGCACGGTCTCCCTCTGCCTCTCATCCCCTCCAACTTTCCTAGTGTCACGATGTTCTCCAGCTTTCTCTTTCCCATCAAAGGATCAAAGAATGTAGATTGTCTCTTTCTGATGTGGGCAAGCAGTTCTCTTCGCGAGTCAATGGAACCAACTACTTTCACCATTAAAGAGAAGTTTATTGAATGTTGAATATTGATGAATGCTGAATTAAGAATCAACATCACAACACTCAAGACACTTACAAAAGTGCTCAGTCCCCATCTTCAGCAGAAAACAAAGAGTTCCAATTCCGATGTTACCAGCAACCTATCCATCCCATCCTTCCCCTGAATGTTGAGCGTCGGCCAGATTCCCTGGCAACTCCTCGCAGCGCCATTCTGTTTAGACCGTACAGATCTATCTGCACCACCCCACTGTTCACTCGCTCCCATAGGACCCTCACAATAACTAACTTGTCATACATCAATTCACGACTAAGTGGTGCAGAGCCAGCCAGTCTATCTGCCTGCTCATTTCCCAACACACCGGCATAACCTGAAGAAAGTGTCCAAAGGATGCTAACTACCCCGGACCTCTGAAGTGATGCTTGCCGCTCTGCATGAAGTTTATTGATGTACTGAACTTTGTATGGCATCAATCATCTGATTCTAAAAGTTTTTATAGTGTTCTATATAACTTTGTTTGGCTTCATTTACTACATCCTGTCTTAACTATTTAAGAATCAGTCAGCAATTACTGGGAACTCTTCCCATTCAATGAACTACTTGAAAAGTTTGTTTCAAGGAGTTAAAATATTAATCCTGTAGAACAGACTGGGCTAAACTAACAATCAGGATAGAGTTTTCTGTAACAATGGTGTGCAACAGAAGAAAGTAAGAAAAGTAAGCGTCAACTAGACTAACCAATGAACGTAAAACGTATGATACAGAAACAGTTCAGTGACATATAAAACTGTATACGACATCAGTTACTTGTATGTCTCAATGATCATTCTTTTTCGACCCTTTCTTCTCAAATGGAGCTCAACCAACTCTGGCCGAGCCGTTCTATCATTTGCTATCATAAGCAGCCAGCTCCCCCTTTTCTGCTTAGTGCTTATCATCATCACCATCAATCACCACTCATCATCATCATCAATCAGCACTCATCATTATCATAATTCAGCACTCATCATCATTTTCAATCAGCACTCATCATCATTTTCAATCAGCACTCATCATCATCAATCAGCACTCATCATTTTCATCAATCAGCACTCATCATCTTCATCAGCACTGTTGTAATCTTATTGTCCAAAGAGTTAAAGTTTCTTCTAGTGGTCACAGCGCAGGTGAAAGGTTCACACAGCGGCCACCGGTCGGGTCTGTTACCTGGGATACCAGCTAATTGAATGCTGGGCGATTAACACAAAGGCTCCTGCAGAACACAAAGGATTCGGCAGTCAAGATATTTTCCTTGTCCAAATAGGACGTTCCTTCTTTGTGAGGTTTTATTTAACCGTACTTACACGGGAGACAGTTTAATGTCTATTTATTTATTATAATGGCAGGAGTCCATTGAGAAAAGAGTGTAATTCTTTTATATTCTCAGAGTAGATAATAAAGAGTTATTATCGTACGTTTTATTGAATAATCATCATCATCTTGTGACGTGTAACTTTAATCACATTAAAGTTTATGTGGCCTGTCACAAGCGTTATTGTTGGCTTGTAAAGATAGCAACTGTATTACATGATGCTGTGTCGGTGCCAAGTGTGCCAGTTATAGAATGCAGGACTTCACTGTAGCACATCCATCAAGGAGATATCCAGCGGAATAGTAGAATAGGCACCCTAGGCCTAAATACTTGGTTCTTGAAATTACAGTGTACTACAACAAAGTGTACAACAAGTTAAGTGTACAACAGTGGATGGCCAAGCCGGTCCTTTGATGGATTTATAAACAGTGTTGATTTATCCAGTGTTCTTACTACTGACTCATAATCGCTTGAACGAATACATTTAACTGTTCGCACATAGACGTTATAAATTAACGGATCCTGAAAGGAGTTATAAACTATTTTTTTTAAGTGTATGCAGTGCTAATGAGTGTTTCTAGCAGCTTTACGAACTTATCGGACATACGTGAACTAACAGTAGGCCTTAATTGATTTACAGCTGTATAAAGTGCTGGTGACATTAGCAGTGTTATTTGACTCTATAGAATTACTCGTTTTTTTCGGCCGTAATTGACATTCTTCAACGGAGTTCGGCAATGGATGCTTGAGTTTAGCATCATTACTACTAGGTTCCTGTTCGCAGTTCGACGCCTGAGGATCGCAGTACGACGCCTAAGGATTGCAGTACGACGCCTGAGGATCGCAGTACGACGCCTAAGGATCGCAGTACGACGCCTAAGGATCCCATCGACTTGAGGATCCACGCTTACGACGCCTAAGGATCGCATCTGTGGATTTAAATCGGGTAATGTTTTTTGTTGACGGATGGGAGTTGTGTTGTGTGCTCGTTTCGTCTCATAACATATCTGAGGTATTAGAGTGAAAGATTATCATCCATGTTTTCTGTTATTTGTAACTTTAATATATCAGCTCATTCAGTTTGGGACGACATATTAGTTCTTTTCTTCAGCTTTTCTTGTCAAATTGGCGGCTCTGATATAGAGGATATGCAAATATTCGTGGCCTTTCTGACAATTAGTCGCTAAAATTGTATGCGTTAAGTGTGTTTCCGTCGTCACGTCATTGGTGTGCTCTTCTGTTTACTTTTCATGATTTCTTTTTTATAACAGGCTTGTGGTGTCAACTTTATTTTTACTATTCGATTCTCTCAACGTTGTCGCTTTGTACATTAGTTGCAGTGAACGAAGTGTAGCGTCTTGTTTGTCAACCA